TATATATAGTCTAGCCTCATTTGGTTTCTGAGTACCTTCTGTGGTGGGAAATTTTCCTGGGAGATGAGCAGACATCTATTCACTGCCGACATGACACTGACCAGAGAAACACAATAATGACTCCATGCTAGTGTAGATGGTGAGCAAATGGGTTTACCTGGGGTGACTTACAGGAGCACTGGCAACTTCTGGGTGGTTAACCACTGAAGAGACACACATACTCTATCTCTTTACCCCTAGCAACCATTAATAGCATAAGTATCGGGGGGAGGCTCTCACGAGCCCCCTCCCCCAGTGACTGCTAACTGTATGTAAGTCCTTGAGGAGGGCAGGGTCCTTGAGCTCCCACCCCATCCATGATAGAAAGTTAAGAGACCCAAACCTGTGCAGGTCTCCTCAGCCACAGCAGCTGACTGTTCAGTGTTGGCGTTATAGACAAGGGACAATGTTCCACAACATCCTGGAAAATAATTTTTGCTTTTTCTTAGTTGCGTCACTTGCTCCAATAAGTTTTATAAGTCATCCTTTTACTCATGAAATGAATTTTTCTTCAACTTCTAATGGAAAAAGAAACAACCTAGTAGAAAGTCTTCCGCTTCCCAGATGCTATCTCTAAACTTTCTTTTGGATGCACACCCTTAATCCCAGCACTTGGGAAGCAGAGGTAGTTGGGTCTCTGTGAGGTCAAGGCCAGCTTGGTCTACAGAGTGAGTTTCACAGAGAAATGCTATCTCAAAAAAAAAACCAGACCAAAAAAATTAAAAAAGAGCACACACACACAGAGAGAAAGACAGAGGGAGGGAGGGAGAGAGAGAGAGAGAGAGAGAGAGAGAGAGAGAGAGAGAGAGGATTCCTCTATACCAGTTTTCTTTTGTCAGTTTTACCAAAGATCTCATTTGATTAGCTTAGGCAAAGTTAAAGGACTTTGTCGGGCTACCGGAGGTAGGAAATACAGGACCCAACATTGTCCCTTGACAGTGACCAATTCTTACTGTGTATCCACTCATTAATCTCATGGCAGTGCTTGAAAACCATTTCTGTAGGCAAATCTCAGTCAGCTGCAGTAGCAAGCTAGTGCCCGTCCTATCCTGTCACCAAGTGGTAATCTCTCTTAAAACCACATCAAGCTCACAGTGTAATAGAGCACAAATAAGATCCAGGAACCAGAGGTATGTCTAGATCACCTTGATATTCCTGCTGGAAGTGTGGGTGATACCTGCAAAAGGATGTCGGAATTCCTTAGCTGTCTGTAGTTCTTTATCTAGGGTTTGGGCCCAGTGAGAGAGGGACGGCATCTTAAAGTTAGAACTGTCTTGTTCCTCACCCAGGAATTGTGCATAGAAACTGAATGCTCTACGCTGGTGCCAGAAGTTTATACAATCCAACCTGAGGCAAAGGACCACATTAAAGAAACAATATCAGAGGAGTCATTCTGTGCTATTATAAGAGCCCACAATTTATATTTTGCTTCTAGGAGCTGATCACTTATGACAGGCAGCATCTATTTTAAGCAACATGGGGAAAGAAGTGCATATTCTGGATACCAAAGATAACAGACACCACACTTCTGGTTTCATTGATTAAAAAAAAGCTCAAAGATGCGTGAAGCAGGTGCACACAAGAGTTAATAAGAATCGAAGACTACATGCTTTGCTTGTGATTTCTGATTTCACATTTTGATTTATAAAGTTCCTAGATTAAATTTTTGTTCATTTCTATCAGTTGAGGAATAAAATAAGCCCAAGACTAGAATTCCTACTGGGAGGGCCTTTTCCTTCATGAAATAATCTTCCTAGCCACAGTGAATGAATATCATTTTATAATTCAAGAGAAAAATATGCTAACGGGAACATCCCATCATGCAGAAAAGAAATCCTGGAACAATTTGGTTAGTAATATAGCTAGCTTAATCGCCAGTACACATTGGCAAAAGATTTTATGCTAACTGAGGCTGCACTGGCTGTGGATGTCTGGTATGTGGTACAGAGATGCAGTCCAAGTGTAAAGAAATGGACAGGAATGATTGATGGGAGAGCTTGCATTGGTGTCCAGTGGGAAATAGCACTCACACAGGGTCTGAGTCAACCTGAGTCTAGCAGTCTTCCTGAAAGGCCACACGGAAGTCTGGAAAGTAAGGTTTAAACACATTCAGGAGACAGAAGGAGATCTGGTCACACAGGACTCATGAAAAGCGCTGAAGCATTGGGTGGAGCAGGGCAGAACCTGCTCCAGAAAGAGATTAGTTCCTGACACAGATTCTTCACCTGCCACACCTGGGAACCTGTGAATCTGATAGCTGGAAGGGGATGACGTAAGAGACTACTCACCAAATAAGTGACAGCAAATTGACAATTAAAAACAGAAGCATGACTGCCCTTTTCATCTAGAGATATGCCAACCAAGCCTCAATTCATTCCAACAAGTTCAAAGTTTAAAGCCTTGAACAAAACCAATATAAATCTAGATTTGAACAAAGAATATTCCTTGCCCTTTTCCAACTTTTGGTTTTTGGAGTTCAATCCAGATGGGCCTTTTCTTGTAAGTTCTCAGTCAAGGTTTCTCTCTAATTTTGTTCCCTTTATAAAGCAATTCCAAGGGGAGGCATAACAGGAAAGAACGAGCAGAGGGAATTAAAGGATTAACCACCCAGTTAAATGAGACGCTCATCTTCGATCCTCATCTTTTCTCTCTTCTTTCATACAGTGAACAGCTAAGCATCTGGGAAGGAAAATTAAGTGAAACTGACTCTGTGTCATCACTCTCTGTGTCTCTGTTTGGGCAGTGGACATTACTGTGGGACATTACCCCTGGACCTACTGTGGGACATTACCCCTGGACCTACTGTGGGACATTACCCCTGGACCTACTGTGGGATGGATGAATGCTTCCGGAGTGGCTGCTTCTCAAGATCCTACAAGTTCAGGCGATGCTGTCCATGTTGAAATGCAGTGTCTAGTCGTCGGCAGCACAGGGTTTGTTCTATCAGTCCATCTCTGAGTCCAGGAAAACTAACTTCGTGCCCCAAATCCCTGCCATCCATTCAAGTCTCCTCTTTAAATGAACGGCAGGCACAATTCCAGTTTTTGAGGAGTTATACAGTCTTGCAGAAAGAAAAGACTCTTGGGCTCCTGGAGAAAAGCACGAAGGGCAGGTGCAAATTCAACCACAAGACGGCTTTCTGGGGAGGAAGAGGTGAGATTATGTCTTCACCGTGAAGTCATTAGTTCCCATAAGGCTAGGACACTGTAGCTGACCATTTGAAAACTGTATTAAGCATGTACTTAACACCCAGTTCAGGATTTACAAGGTACATAAAACTGTCAGAAAAAAACAATACAGAGTTTGCCACTCAGGAAATCACAGGGTACTAGGGTAAGGGACTTGGGTATTTCACAAATGTGTGCAATAGAAAGTATGATAAGATAAGGCAAATATAACCAGATAAATGAAGTTAGTAAGATAAATTAATTTTACTCAGGACAATTTTTCTGGAAGGTGACAGAAACAGTCTCTGACTCCAGGTTAAAGAAAATACGCACTATCTATGTCCATACTGGATAGAGCCCTGTTAAATGCCAATGGGAAGATGGAGGTTGAAATGTATATGGGCAAACAACAGAATATAAAGACATGGGTTTGGCTCCATCACTTCTCTGGGGTCTAAAGACATGAGTCTAGCAGTCCAGCTACCTCAGTTGGTAGAACACGAGACTCTTAATCTCAGGGTTATGGGTTTGAGCCCCATGTTGAGCACCATTGTAGACACAAGTTTCTGTTCCACCCGGTCCCTCAGTTGTTCAGTCCCAAAAAACACAAAGAGGCTTACTTAACTATGAACTGTTTGGCCTATTAGCTCAGCATTATTATTAACTAACTCTTACCACTTTAACTAACCTATAATTCTTGTCCATATTTAGCCACATGACTTGATACCTTTTCTCAGTGCAGCCGTCTCATCTTTCTTCCTTTGTGTCTGGCTGGTGACTGACTCTCTGTCTTTCCTCTTCCCAGAATTCTTCTGGTCTGGTGGCCCCATCTATACTTTCTGCATGGCTACTGGGCAATCAGTATTTTATTAAACCAACATGAGTGACAAATCTTTATAGTGTACAAGAGCATTATCCCACAGCACTTCATCACATCTCTGGGATAGCAGTTAGAAAACAATCTCAATGGATAAGCTAAAGACTCAATTTTGGGCTTAAGGTTGAATGCTTTCCTTTATTTTGGTATTGCTGAATTCAATCTTTATCTTACATTTATTGTAGTTGCTATTAAGTCATTGCCACTTCTCATACTCAATAATATCTTAATGAAGAAATTTTGGTTCTGTCATCCATTTACCATATTTTCCGAGTCTTGGTTCTGAGAGCCCTCTCAGCTTCCTTATTCACTCAGGGAATTTAGGAAGAATAAACAAGATAACATATGTAAATTGCTAATCAATGCCCAGTACACAATGGGTACACAGTTAAACATGGTTTTGGTTGTTTTGTGTTGTTTGTTGTGGGCATTGCTTCGTGTTCTCAGACCGAGTGGATTTCATCACTCTACTGTCAAATTTTATCACCACACACAAAACCTAACTATAATACAGACCAAGCCTACATCTTCAAGAAAAGGGATTCATAGCAGGAGTCAGAGGGATGAGGGCTGTTCGAGGCGGGAGGGGTACTAAAGACTTTCTGTGGGGCTGTGACCTCTGAGGGGAAAATGGATTCTCTGACAGCATGCAGATGCCTCAGAAGGACACAGCAATTTTCTATTCTGCTGAAGGATGAGCAAATTGTAGCTTCTCATCCCCGAATTCAATAGTGACAATAACAGTGACAGTTATCGGATGACAATGGCAGCCACGGATGGAGAGAGAGAGCTTTCAGAAGGAAAACAATTAGAATTAGACCGCAAGAAGGAAGCCAGAAGAATGCGGAACGTAGAGGGCACAGACAAAACTGCCGAGTTTCCTAGCAACTGGGTAACATTCCTTTTTGTTAGGAAATGGCGAATCGGGAGAGCGAGAAGAAGGTTCAGCCCTAAGCTCAGGAGCACCGAGATGCATGACAATTACCAGAGGTTATAATTACATTCCCAGCATCACACATACATCATGGTGTTTTGTGTCATATACTTCAGGGATTAGTTACATAGATGAGCCAGTGTGCTATAATTTTATTGAGTCAATTGGACTGAGAATTAACCCCAATATAAAGAATTCAGATGGTGCGGATAAAGAAATCTTAGGTACCGCCTCCAACTGGAAAGTGTAGGACAAAGAATTAAATTCAAGGAGACATTCTATGTAAACCAGATGTGAGTGGGTTAAACACACGACTTTTCCTGAATAATATTTGCGTTTCGGGAGGGGGCTCCTGGACATGAATTTTAAGTAGGAAGGAACAGGGGTAGGGGTTTCAACACCTGCAAGGTATTTTGCAGAGGCGGGTTTACAGCGTAATCTATTCTCCTGCCCAAGGTCAACATTCCCAGATGAAAAGCTGCCCTCCTTTAGAAAAGCCAGCCTGCTACAGCAGCTACCAAATAGCATATGCTGTCAGTCTGCACCAGCCTGCTGGAAATTATTCAAATCAATCAATTAAAAACAAACCCACATAAATAATGCATTTTTCCACCGACTTTTCTCCTGTTTTCCAGGCTCCGCTCATAATCAAGGAGGTTAGCACACTTTAAAATGCAAATGCCCATGTTTTTAGTCTTTAAAGGCCTTGCTAATTTGACAATAAAGAAAGTTCTACCAGGTGTAGCTCGGGAGAGCTGGGAAATCTCAGCACAAGTCAAAAGGGAATCAAAAAGCAAAGGACTCCCAGGTCTTTCTATAGTAGCACTCCAGGTTCTGAAATGGCCATACAAACATATAACGTTCTTATCCCTTCTGCACGCTGACCTAAAAGGAAAGGAGACGCTCTAAAGCGATGTGGGGCCATATCTGAGGTCTCCTGCTTTCTAAGAGTCCCTACTATTTTCTTCACCAGGTTAGCACTACGTTAAACAAATTCAACAGAATTCCTTCGTTCGTTTGTATCCAGAAGGGCGTCTGCCACGCACCCTCTTCAGTGAGCAGGATAAACATCTACCCCGCTCCCAGCAGATGTCCCAGCACAGAGTCCGCACATCTGGGAAACATTGCTGGCTAAAGCATCATTCCAGCTGTGAGCTGCTGGCAGGAGTTCCCACTACTCAGGCTTTTGGTATTTATTGGGAGAGCCCTGCAGAAAGGCGCAAGGATGCAAGGATGCCCAGAAGGAGGCCGGGACAACACTGTGGAGTTTCACAGCTGGGCTCCCTGCTGCACGGCTGGCATCGTATTTTGGCAGCTGGCCTTAGGTTCTGATGCAGATGGAACAGCTAAGGCCCAGACCCCCGTTACTGCAAGACTTCCAGATTCTTCCAGTGTCCGGCTTCTATGTTGATGAGAATTCATGAGTCCATTTTGTCTCCAAAACTTTCAAAGTGTGGTCGAAGCAATAATTCTCAGTCATGAGTATGATGAGCTTCATTTAAAGCGACTGTCACTGGGCCTGGGCAGAAGACGTCTAAATCCTGGACTAGGCTGAGCTACATCGTGAGGCCTCATCTCTAAGAAACAACAACACAATACTATCAATATAGATTAAATGGGTCTGACTAACACTGGGAGAAAATGATATGGTTAAGTTAAAAAAATAATTTCATTATATAACAGCTATGGGAAGAGAATTAAAATTGGGTTCTCTTGAGCAGTTAAGCAATGTTTTTTATAGACCTTAAACTGCTCCTGATGTCTAAATTCTGAGATGTAGCGAGGTTTTATAAAGGTCTTCAACATTATCTTCCACCATCCTCACGATTTCCTCACAGTCCTCCCCCTTCCCCCCATGTCATATCCACCCCAGTGAACCCAGACTAGGCCCTGCAGGCCCGTCTGCTTGGTAGTGACCATCACTGGTAACCATCACCGGGACTGTCCTTGGACACCGGCTGGGAAGGGGTCTGCTTCTCTCTCACATTCTAAGGATGTGAGTTTGACGCAGGTGGCCTTAGAGACACTGCAGCCATCTTGTGACTCCATCCTGTTGTCTCATAGCAAACAGACTCAAAGAACTGCTTCTTAAGAACGTGTGTCTTGAGAGACCCTCCTGACCTACTCATACAGAATCTTAGCATTTTGAGCCCGAGGTCCCCAGCTGCTATTTAACCCAGTGTGGGCTGTTCTTTGCTGTTGGTACCCACAGCATTTCCGTGCAAGCGGAGTGTCCACAGACTTCTAGTCCAGGGGAGCTTTTCCTTAGGTCCTCATTCCAGGAGACTGGCCAGACCAGCATGGATCTAAGTGCTCTGGGAATCGCCAGCAGGGACTCCTTGTCTTGTCTGTTGTCACCTTTTCTTTCACATTGGAGTCACCTCTTTCTTCCTCTGTTTAACTCCAAGGTGATGACAACTCAGTCATTTCTGGAACAACTACACAGTACTCCAACCAAGAGTCTCCAAATAAACTGAAGCGTCCCCTTTACACAGAAGAGAGCCTTAAATGGGAAGAGATTCCACACTCCACCGTCCTGACACTCACCCCATCGCCCCACATTCCCCAAACACCAACCCAGTTTAGAACCTTTTCCTGCTTAACCAGAAATCTATTATTTTTTTTCCCAAAAAAATGGGTGCTTTCTTTTCTGAAAAAAATTGTGATCATCTCTATGTTTAGAGAAGTAAGTCACTTCGGTTTCCTCTGCATCATTAGATACATAAATACAAAGCCAGGAACACGAGATCATAAACTTTGTCTAATGCTTTGTTCACTTTAAACAATAATAAACAGACTTTGGGGAAATTTACAGAGTATGAACTCATCGTATGGGCTAACATTTGTAGCACACAGTGAATTGAGTACTTAAGAGTTTAATAAATGTTGCCTGACAGCCAGATAGAAAGGTAGCAAACACCTTTCTTATTTTATTGAAGTCCTTTCGTGTGTATAATTTAGCAGAAACAAGTCTTCTCCTACTATTTATTAGTTTTTCATTAAGAAAGACTTTGGTTAAATCTCCCTAACTCATCAAAAATGCCTTCATCTGATTTATTTTCGTACTTCATCAGCGAAGGTTTAGGTAAGAAAGCATCACTGGGAAGGGCATTTGAGTCTGGAGAGTGGCATTATGATCAATATTAAGCTTTAATTAAGTTACATTGACATTCATAATAGGTCTCAATCTGGCTAATAAGAAGGAATATTTTCTCGGATAAAGAGCAATGCAAATTACAGACAGTGATCAACTGCTAGCGCTTAGTTTCAGCACTTCAGCCGAAATGGGTCATATTCTAGGGGGAAATTATGGAACTCATTATGAAGAATGATGGCGCTTTGAGAAAAAACAGATTTACAACGGAAGGTAATTATAACAGTGGCTGCTAGGTCTAAAAATTTTAATATCTGAGACTTTCCGTAAGTGGGCTTGATTTCTACATTGTAATGCCCTCTTCAAGAGTCACCATGAGGGAGCATCCGAAAATAACTCACGGTGAAGCATCCAACACAAAGGGACAGACGCAGCCTGTTTCTGCACTCAGTGAAGAGGTGCGAGTCTGAGCATCAGCGAAACCCCCAGTCAACCAGCTGAAGGCGGGTTCCTTTCCCTACAGCGTTTAGCTTACTCTAGGCAGTACAAACAAGAGAGGTCATAGTGTGTCATACGGCCTCTGGGCTCACATCTTCAGGTGCCCACACCTTGGGCAGCCACTGCCTCACTGCTGATCAGTGTGTGTTCTTAGGTCCTGCTCTGCCTCCACCAGCTCCCAACAGGCGTCCCAATTCTTCTGGCTTCTCAAATGCACCAAACTCCATCTTGCCTTGGGTTTTTTTTTTTTCTTGGTTATTCTATAATTAGAGGTTTTTGTTGTTGTTTCTTTCCCCTGTAAGGCTTGGAAGAAATGTCATAACATTCTTAACTAGCCCAAGAGTCTTTGCCTATTGGCTGACTCTAAGCTATCCACTTTCCTCACTTAAACTAAATTATCGACTCTCTGGGACTTTGAAATAATGTTTGTTGGGCTGTTCTCTGTCTGTGTCCTCATTCACATTTTTGAAATCCTTTCTAGAGCAGTGGTTTTCAGTCTGTGGGTTGTGACCCCTTCAGGAGTCAAAGACCCTTTCACAGGGGGCACCTAAGACTATTGGAAAACAAAGATATTTACATTACAATTCATAGCAGCAAAATGATAGTCAGGAAACAGTGATTAAAATAATTCTATATTTGGGGGTCCCCACAACACGAAGAAGTATGTTAAAGGCTCTCAGCATTAGGAAGGTCTTGCTTATCCTTCTACAGTGCTTGTACCCAGGAGGTGCTCACAAATACGCGCTGATTGGATGAGAAGAGAAAATGAAAAAAAAAAACAAAATCAAGTGAAGTGCATGCTTGAAAAGAGGAAGGAGTATTCTGGCTACAAGTGGATGACGAGAATAACCTGGCAGTCGCCACAGGAAGTTCCAAGGGTAGGACCCTGGAGTCTTAGACTCCTCTCTCCTCTCCTCTTCTCAGGCCCCAGGACTCAGCGGGAAGGCACTCAACTGTAAATCCAACTGAAGTGAATGGTGGTGAAGCCATGTACATGGAGGTAGGGACCCTGGACTTTATACACTGGAGAATTCTACTCATTGTCCAATTTCTGGTCCTTGTACCTATTAAAGGGGAAAATACTGAAGAATTCTTTGGGGGTGTCAATGCCACATCTCAAAGTATGAGAGTCCTTTTTAATATTTGGTTGAAACAACTTATGGATGTTTTAGGCCAGGAACATAGCTACGCTTTGCTCCTGTTGCTTTGAATGTGAGTATGAGTGTGTGTGTGTGTGTGTGTGTGCATGCATGTGTGTATGAGTGTGTGTGTGTGTTTTGTGTTCTGAAGTCAATAAAATGATTAGGAAGTGAAATCCTTCTTGCCCACACTAGTGAGTTGCTTCTCCATTGTGAACACACAGCAGACACCAATACATGGGGACCGACCCCGGAAAGCTCACTGAATACAGCAGGGATGATCTCACCTGTGTTTGTGGGAGTTGCTGAAGCCAGCAAAGTAAAGGACGGCAGAAACAAAGACACAATGACTCAGAAAATGGCTTCCCCGCATCCAAATGACTCTTGTGTGCAGGCTTTACTGCACAGCTATCCTCCAAACCCCTTTCTGAGGGCTGGAAACCCCCATTTATTGAGCAAGCGACGTTGTCAGAGAAAGAAGTTGGATTTGAATCCGAGCAGTGTGACTGTAGAACCCACAGGTAGAACCCACTTCTCCGAATGCATAGACATGTCAGTCCTATTCGCGAAGAGGGAAGAGCTCCGCTCACGTCCCGGACCTCAGTCTGACTCAGTGTCTCCAAACTACAAAGACACCCGAGTGACCTAGGGGCACTTCCTGAAGAGCAGATTGGGGCTCCCCAGGTTTCTGTGGGACCTGGAGAGTCGGCTTCTCTAACTGTCACCCTGGTGTTGATACTGCCCTCTGCCGACCACTCTTGGGGGAACAGGGGCCTAAGCTGGGGCGACCTGATGCTATTTCAATGTTTTAAAGTTGCTGACGCACTGCCCTCTGGTGGCCCCTAGAATAATTGCCCTCTGGGCTAGCCGCCCTTGGATTCCTAAATTAATCATCAGCAACTGTTCTCTATCTCAGGTAAAAGCTTTTCAAAACTATTTCTTCATACCACGCTAACGTCGCTGCTACATACACATACTGATGCATATCACTACCATAATTCTCAGCACATCCAAGTAAACTCTCCAAATCTATCCTATTAACCAACTTTCTTTTCCTTAAATTGACTTTTTTTAAAAAGGGAATTTAAATAGGAAGACCAATATTGCTTATCAAAGATACAAAGAAACTGTAAAATTAAATGAAAGGAAAACACCCCGGTGTGTGAAAGTTCAGACAGCTGCCCTTCAAAGCTCCCAAGCCTAAGACTCACTCTGTAATTGTTACAGGGAGATTAGCTGGTTTTAAAGACTCGGCACTAAACTGGCTTTTGCTCGGATCGTATCGGGAGGATTGGAGTGCACGGAGTGGAGATCAGCTGCTATGTACTTCCGTGTTACTTAATGCAGTGGGTATGCAGGGCTTAAGCGACCTCTTGAGGGACCTGCTGTAGGCGTTCATGCTAAGCGCCTTGCTTTTTCTCTCTGCCTGTGCCATCTGTACTGGAGAAGTGATTTCAGGGATCTAAGTCAATTCGTGCCGAAATAGGATGATCCCAGGTGGCCACTGGGCATTCAGCATTGTGAACTCTGAAATCTGGCAGCCCTGGCTTATGTCTGGGCAGATTCACTGCCAATTTTCCAGATGCTTCTAGAATTCCCATCTCTAAGAAGCTTATCCTTATTCATTCAGTCAGGCACAGTCAGTGAATCTGGAAGGTCAAAGGTCTGAGATGGGAGTGGATTGATTCTGCTTCCCTTGAAAATGATTAATAAAGTCAGCCCTGTAATGCCAGCTTCTGGTGATGGACTTGTGTGGGGCAGCAGAAGCCAGTGTGGGTCCACGAGACACAAGGGAATCCTGGGTAGCGGTGTGGGAAATAACCACACAGAGGCAGTCATTCCCTCCTTCACACAGGCGAGAGGGAAGGGAATGTGACTAAGGGTCCTGCTTGGACCCTTGGGCGACAGAGCTGGGAAGGACTCCAGGTTCTTAACATTACTGTTCTGGGACGAGTCAAGCATTCCTCAAGCTGTTCCCATAGTTGGCAAGCGGA